GCTCGACGCCCGCTATCTCCATCTCTATCCCAATGCAACATGTTTGAAGCGACTCGAAATTTTGGGGGAGGAGAAGCGTGCTGGCTGGGGAGGTAGTGGCTGGCCAAATTCGCCGCCAGAGCCTCCAGATTTCTTCTTGGAGATGGCGACTCCGCAATTGGCCCATCTTAAATGCTTCGATGTCGACCAAGCGCGAGTGTCGATAGACTGGGCACATCTCCAAACAGTAGAGTGGGAGCAGGCTTTTGGCACAGCGCCTATCTGGCCCCACCTGTCCAGCTGCCCAAGCCTCGCCCATTTGCGCCTGATTGCTTGTGACAGTACACCCCCAGCAACTCCCATCCGTCTTCCGTCACTTCAAACTCTCATCATAGAGCGGCGCTCACGCAATGAAGGGGACGATGGAACGATTGTCGAGATGTTGGAGGCGCCCGCGCTGCAACGCTTGCAGTTGACGCGGAATCTACTCCATCGAGTGCTTGCCTCGGCAGCGGCAATGCTCACAAGCCTGAGCCAGGTGCCAATCCACATTCGCATCCAATGTTGTATAGACGCAGAGAGGCAAGATGTCGAAGCTCTCATGTTACTATTGGCAACTTCGCAAGGCGTGAATATTTTGGGTGTGGATGCGCATTCACGGGATTGGGCTGAGCAATACTTTGTGTAGTCTTGAGCTGTAGAATAAAATATTAGTCTTAGCAATTGGTATATTTAAGCGATTGTTGTACCATACGACCCTGGTGAAGAAGTCCACCCAGGTCAGCCTGGTCTACTCTAGCACTACGACCAGCACGAAATGCGTAAAGCAAGTCCGCGCCGGTCAGCCATGCAGAGGGGAGTGGGGGAAAGAAAAACAATAAACAACCAAGTATTCAGACTTGGAGAGAGTAGAGTAAACAACCAATGATTTGAGATATGGGTACTACAAGGGTGGTATCTAGTCCATTTTCATCTTCTTTGACCTTCTTTTTTTTGTCTCAACAACGAGTCGGTCATTGTGGGTGACAATACGATCCTTGTTTTGCAACTTGGCAAGGTCATGCCCAGAGATTCTGAGTTCGTCAACCTTCCAAACGTTCACCATGGCATTAACTCCCTTTGGCCGTCACTTGAATTGACATTCCAAAACGTGTATATCCCTCCTCGTCCTCGCTCTGAAGGGTCCCATAGAAGTCGATTTGACCCCGCCAGTAACAGATGGAGGGACTTTACGAGTCGAAGGCTCGTCGTCTGGCTCAGGCGATGAGTCACTTGACCGCCGGTCTTCGGTGGTCAAGTCTGGCATGTCGTCGTCGCTGCCGCTGCTCCGCGTGTCTTGACGTGGAGCATTGACGGGTGTTGGAGGTGCCATTGTCGCGGATCGGGATTCGATGAACACACTTTTGGTAAATCTTTTTTGAACGAACGAAACCCGGGTAATTTAGATAACAGAGTACAGTTGATGGCAAGTAAAGACGAATAGATTACTGCCGTCGACAACGACCTGCAGTGATTTGCAAGATCGCAATACGTCCCGCGCACTGCCGACAGCAAGTACCTGGGGGTGTCAACGAGAGTGGCGACAAGCGTGGCGATGAGCGTGGCGAAGCGAGGACAGTCGTGAGGACGGTGGCTTTTTTTTGCCCGAGCTGAACGGAAATGTGTCAGCAAAACGTTCATTGTCTTGAAAAAAAAAACAAGGCGACTTATGTGTGTAGATAGTGTAGAAAAACAACGAGATGGTGCCGAGGTCAAGGTGAGGGAGGACAGTGGCGAGGGCAGTGGCGAGGTCAGTCGGCAGAGTGGCGAGGAAAGCGACACCGAGTTCAAGTTGTCGTCCAGCACTGTCGCCGACAACGACTAACGGTGAGCAGAGAGAGAGACGGGGAGAAGAGGAAGAGAAGGGGAAGGGAAGGGGCTGGCGCGGCCGACAACGGCGAGCACCAGTTGCTGTGAAGGGAGGAGTCAGCAGGTGGTGGTTAAGGAGAACGAGGAAATCAGCACGTGTTGAGCTGTGACACATGTGATGCTGATCACGTGTCATCATCTCTCCTCCTCAACCAAGTCCACCACTCACGCTGAGCTGTTGTCGGCCAGCGTGCTCCGCCCATCAAGAGGACGATCCCCATCTCTCCTACCGCTGCCCACGACCGCCTCCCGCCTCGCCCCGCCCGCCTCGCCTCCCACCCCGCCCCGCCTCCCGCCGCCCTCAACCACACGCTTTGCTGTTGTCGGCCAGCGTGTCAAAGCTCATCACTACTCCCCTTCATCCTTGCGACTCCCCTTCTACGCTCCCTCGTTCTCCTTCTGCCCGCCAATTCCTCCGCCACCGCCGCCAAGTAAATCGCCGGAATGTCCACACCCTCTCGTCGTTTCGTCCCGCGTACTGGGCTTGGACAGCATGAAATGCCGCCGGTATGTGGTCCTTTCCTCAAGTTTTGAGGCAATACTGACTAGATTTAGCCCATCGAAGAATTCAACGGTTTTGTGTACAATCGGGGCGCGTTTTACATGGCATTCAACGCGGACCGGGAGTTCATCATGCGAATTCCGACCGCTCAAGCACGCCCCGCGCCCCGAATTCCAATACTAATCCCACCGACATCTACGAAACAACTTGGCTCAATCCGCTGTACCCCCACACCATGCTCTTGCCGACCCAAAATATCTTTCTTGGGCCCCTCCTAGAGTGTCTTGATGTCTCTGAGCGCTCGCTGGAAATTATGAGTGAGAAAATGGAAATGAAAGATAATTATGGCCGTTCGACAACGGAACTGCGGTGGAAACTCAAGCCCACGACGTGCAAACGCTGGCTGAGAGCTGAAGCGTTCTTGCGCAGCGTCCTCGGGTGGGTAACAAGCAGAACAGACCATCTGTTTCCGTCTGCCTTCCTAGGGAATTCGCCCTTCTTGACGGCAAACCAAGGCTACGCTGGCAACTTTGAGACCGAGGCCCTAGCCGTCAAGACCGCCATCCTCTCGCGCAATTCTTTTGGCCCAATGATTGCGACAAATTGTACTACGACTACTCATTCTCCAAATAAAAGGCGAATCGTGGCGGGTGGATATCATTTCGGACCTCCAAATTGAGCCGCAGTTGCGAGACGAACTCGACTATCTGTATCAAGACTGTATGCAACTCTCGCTGGGTGGTATCATCGACTATTCGACCCCCAAAGCCATCGCTGAAGCACATCCAATCGAATGGATGCTGGAACTCTTGCTGCGACATCGAATTCATATTCCATTATACTTTTGCTTCTCGGATTCTACGCTACAGTCTTTCCTATCCGCAACTCCAATCCAACGTATGCACATTTCGTTCAACTTCCAAGATCTGGAACGACTCAAGAAGGGTTTGTATCACGAATGGGTCTATATCGACCCAAACGTTCGTATCCACGGGATCCTGCGAAACTGGGACTACAAAGCTCCCGTCGTGACGCGTCCTCATCCGCCAGTGGTTCTGGGCAGCGGGCAGAAGCCAAATGAAACCCATGTCGAAGTTCTTCGAGCGCCGCAGGAAGGCAAATAGGCAGTTGGCGGAAAAGGAAATGGAGACAGAGAGACAGAAGCGGATTGAGCGTATACAGCTAGCGAATAACTTGTCTGAATCATCAGCGCCTACGATGTCGCGAGTTTATGTTTGGGAGGACACCAATAACGATGGGTTCTATATTCGCAAACCCAAAACAGTTAACCAGGCATTCGATCATTGGTGGCGTTTCCATCCAAAGCAACGTAAATATGACAGCTTCTCGAATGAGTGGGACCTATGCAAAGCCTTTGCACCGAATGCAGTTCCAGAAACTTATCCCCCATTGGCTGACTATTCAATGGATGTTGATGTCCCTTATGAGGAAGAAGATCTCCCCCAGGAAATGCGCGAGATACTGGACAATAGGCATGGCGCTCTGGAGAATATCAAGGAGTTTTATGCAGACAGCCGGGTTGTGGACGAATCACGTGGTGCACCAGCGGTGGACGAATCCCATGGTGCACCAGTCAACGACCATGAACCGCTTCTACCGTGGTTTGGACTCGTCGAGCCATCAGCACCGACAGGCAAACTATTGGCCATGGATGACTCTTGCAAAACCCTTGGGGGGGATAGCAACGCCAAAAAATCCTGCAGACAATATCCGTGCTCTGCTGAAAGCATTGTACGATGCAAAGTTTTTGAATGAAGTCCCTGAGACCCTCTACGATCTACGCCAACCCAACAACTTGGACATCTGGCCAGTCCGCGGAGTCAATATCAAGTTTGTGCGACAGCCAGACGCAGAAGCTCATCAGCGGAACGTCTTTATCCTTGAACCGCTGGGTGAAGGCGCCGATGATATCCACAAGATTGTGCTCTTCGATGCTACAGTCGCCACATTTATTCTCCGCACTGGCTACAGCGATATATCTGATATTATCGCCCAACTGGTGGAATTGGGCGTAAACTTTCATATTGCAGTTCAAGGGTATGCCCCCAAAGATTGGCACCCTCCAAAGCTTTATGCTTCCAGTCTGGGTTATCGCCGCGAAGACTATCAGCCTAAGCCTGTGGAATACCAAGCCTATGAGTACCGACGCAATACGTTCCTGCGCTCATCGCGTGGCTTCCTGGCTATTTACTGTGGTGGGCTCATTGCTCGCATTGCTCGCTCGATACTCCAAGACCCAATCTCGACTGTCCTGGAGGACATAGTTGATATTCACATGGCTGATGCGCGGATCTGTCTTCCGAACAGCGATGAGGCGATGTACTACCATTGCTTGAGTTTAAAGGAGGAAAACTTTATCTGCGGTGTGTATACGATCACCCGTGGCTGTAGCCTGTTTCAATCATCCCCGGGAACTGCCAGAAAATCCGATTCCATCATCCCTGTGTGTTGCCAGGTCTCTGACAACACTCAAACCCCACCCGTTTCCGTGCTTCCTTGCCGCTGATCTCCGAACTCCGCTTTATCCTGCAGCTTTGATATCATCATTACGACTGATTTGGTCCGAATCATACAATTTTAACATTGTTCTCTACATTCCCTCTGCCATAAATGTTCCCTCTAATATTTCCCGCTCCTCCTCTGCTGCCCAATGACGGACAGCAGCTCCCATTGTTTTGTCCCACTCCTCTCGAAAGCGCACTATAAATTCAGTATGCAGGTACACGTTACGCAGCGCATAAGCTCGGATTCCAGCCGCCGTCGTTCCATCAACGTCTGAACGAACTTCGTCGGCTCGTTTTTGCCATTCTGAAGCCTCCCACTTCAATGATCGCATGACCCGCTTCATCTCCTCTCGCAACAATTCAACCTCCTCGTTCCAGCGTTCCTTCCGTGCACGTGTGCTTTTGCCCACTCGACACGCATAGCTATGATACCACGTTCAACCGAAAGCAAATGGTCAACAAGCCATAGTTACTCACAGTCATGAAGTTCAACCCCGTCGGCCTGCCCGCCTGCTGCCCAAATCCAGGAAATTGGCGCCGTCTTGGTTTTCTTCTTTTTTGCAGCAGTCTCCTCTCTCGTAGGTCGCGATCCGTCTGCTGTTCGTAAGCTTCTTGCTGCATCTTCGTCACTCTCGATTTCGATACGAGTGTTCAAATGGGCCTTGTCCAATTTTTGAAACTCGGGAGCGTAACGTTTGCCTTTGAGGTGAACGAGAGCCTCGTAGCCTTCAGTATATTTGGCAGCGGCCTTCGTTACACCTTCTTCCATCCGAGCCATTAGAGTGACGGAGCGCGTTCTTGCACGTTGCCCCACCATGTTTTCCCCGAAAACCAAATCATGTGTTGCTTCGAATGAAGCCTCCCTCGAAGGCAGCCAGTGCATCTGCACACTGTCCCCGACGCAATTTCGCTGGTCTCAATCAAGTCCGCCATGCTGACTTGTCGACACTCTTCCGCGGTTAACTGTGACGGAAGATAAAGCTTTGCGTTTTCCGGTTGCGCGTCCTCCGCGTCCAATTTATACCGCTGCGTCGCGAAGACCCTGAACCCCAGGCATGTAAGTTAGTTGAAGTTTTTCGAAGGTGCGCATTTGTTTGATCAGAGATAGACGTAATTCTTGTATCTGGCTCGCTTGATCTGCTGACTTTTTTGCCTTCAGAGCAGTCCGTATACGACGCCTGGGGATAGTGAATAGAGTGTGTGGAATGAAGACTTTGACATACTGGATGGCCTGAAGCTGCATACCCGCTCTGATGAACGCTGTTATGGTCATTTTACCTTCCAGCAAAGGTTTGATTCCGGCTCGTGCATCTTCCACCTCAGCTCGTTTCAACTCTTCACTTATTTCGCGTTCACTAGGCCCGGCTGTCGAGACAGGTCATCAATGCTACAACAGGTATTCAACGTCATGCATACCGAGCTTCCCACCCTGGACTTCAAATGGATTCGTCTGGGTGTTATCCTTATACCAGGCATCCATCATCTTGGCCCATTCACGTCGTTTTTTTTTAGGAACGCTGTCGTCCAGCTCCTGGAATTCAATGCCCTGCCTTTGACGCTCTGCTACAGCGACAATCAAACGTCTTGCAAGTGTCCGCCCTTGCAAATAGTGAGCTTAAACTCTCAAAGAAACCTTAACTGACCCATGCTCCTGTTTTTCTCAAAATTAATCAGGTCGATCTTGTCCTCCAGGACATCATGACGGGCGCCTTCTCCCATTTCCTTTGTCGACCAACTTGCGGGATTGAGTAGGCTCCACAAACGCTCGGTGCTTTCCCCATCCGTCTTTCCAACACCCAACAAGTACCTAAGCGCAAACTGAATTCGACATTTGGGGTCATGAGCTTCAGCATGCCAGACCGGCAGTCCGTATTGCAGGCGAATACGGTCCACCTGGTGAATATCTCTTCGATATCCACGCCCGTTGTCTTCATTCGTGCGACGCTCAGGAAAGTATACTTGCCAGTGACATACGATGTCGTATGCAAGCAAGACCCACAGAACTTCCTCGTCTGACAGAGTTGATAGCACGGTCCAATCCACGTTTCCATAGCTGGCACAAAGAGTTAGTATCCAAGTTGTTCCTGGCATCAAGCAACTTGCCGTTCTCCACGTTGAAGGTCTCCCATCCCTCGACGACGTGCGAGGCCGTGCCGTGCACAGACACAACCAACTACGCCAGAAACTCTCAGGCCAGTGGTCAATTTGGTCTCCTTCTGCAAAAGAGCAGCAAATGCAGCACAAGCCTGGACCTGAAGTATCGCATTAACATGGAATAGATTCGACTAGAGCGCACTGACATCTTTTTCGTCAACGAGCGTTTTGATATGTTCTTTATATGGTCCAGATCGTGGCAAGTATCCCAAGCCATCGGTCAACGCCGGATCCATGCGTTCTCCAGCACGAAGCTTGTTCTTCAGGCGGAAATTGGCATCGAATGCCAACATGAGCTTATACAAGTATCTGCACATTTGTTAGTCAAGAATAGTTTGATTAAATAGCTACTCACGCCTTCGACTCCGGAACCTTGTCCCATCCGGAAGGCAAGTTACGAGAAGCATCTGGGCATGCCCAGCAACGCACAGCCAACGCCCCTGGCGGCGTAGTTACAATTCCATTGGCTTCATGCCCGCGACCTCCACGCTTCATCATTTTAAGATAGCTGTATTGTCGAGCCATTCGACCGAAAGCAACGCGACGATCTGGGACCTTTTCCAGTCCGGTTGAATCCGTCAACTTCTCCAACGTGCGCACATAGTCTTGGACATTGATGTTTTGCGATGGAGCGCAGGAAGCGAAATGTCTCCAAAACGTTGAAGGTTGCACAGGTCGCAGGGTTTGTTGTCGTGGCCGGATACCACGCATTTGAAGCAATTGTCTGACGGGGTCGAATCCGAACGGATTCACGCAGCCACAGTACTGCACGTCCAAAGTAAAAATGCCATTGACATCGATGACCACCAACGGTCGACGGTTACTGGGGAATGGGCATGGGGCACCGTCATGACCAAGTTGATAACAGCCCGCCAAACCACGAGCTCCATGCTGGATGGGTCCGGCATAAAACAAGGAGGCCTTCGTCCAGAAGTGACCCGTCCATTCCTAAACAAGCTAGGTAAACAAGTAACAAAATCGGTGAAGAAATAAATACCTGCAATTCATGGAGCGGCAATTTCTGATGAGCGGCTTCCACACAGGTCTCACAATGGAGTCCGTCCCCACATTGCTTGCAGCGAAAAAACGGAGCCCCGTCTCCTCCATATGATTGGCTTGACAATTCACACATTCTTGGCATGCGTTAGGGTTTCCGAGACCGTCTCTTCGTAGCATTTCCTCCAGAAAGAGAGCCGTCAGTGGTTGCCACATTGCCATAGGATCGTCCTAAGGGAATGAGCTTCTGTATAAAGTCGTAGTATCAACCGACCGATGCATAACGTTTTCTCTTCAATGTCGATTCTTCTTCCAGTTGAATCTCCAACGACGACACAGTATCCACCAGCTCTCTTACGTCCTCCAGTTGCGCATCTGGGAATGGCATCCAGTCAGCGAGTTCAGGTTGAGTTTCAATGACCTCTTGATTAAGGCGAGCCTTTTTTTTTGGCGATGGATTTGTCTGCTGGCTCAGCACGCGCTGTCCATCCAGAGAATAATGAACTTGTAGGTGGTTGAATTCCTCCTCAGCGGCGTCGTCAAAATATGTGTGTCGCACAACGTTGGGGAGTCGAGGCATGCGAAAAGATGGAGGCATCAACTTGATGCGCTGTCCATTTATTTCACGACAATTATTTCTTTTGGTCCATAAGTAATTACAGGCTACTCTGCGTCAACCTTGGCTGGCGAAGTTGGGGGAAGTTCAGGTCGGGTTGATTCCTTGACCTCCCGCGTCGGCGCTATGTGAAGATAATGGCAGTCATAGAGACTGCCCGTCTCATCGGACAAGGCCCATCCCGCAGTCCAATCCACATTTTCATAACTGTCCAAAAATGAGGATCGCATTGCTCCCATAAGCCAAGAACTTGCCGCTCTCCAAGTTGAAGGTTTCTTGGTGTTTCGTGGATCTTGTGCAGGACATGCGACTGCGGCTGGTAGATTCGCATCGTTTCAAAGAAGTTGGTCGGAAGGGGGCACCTCGCGGCGTCTGAAGTACAGTGTAAACCGTCACGGCTGGTGGATACAGCTCGCAACGTTCGAGAGTTTCGCGAAAGGGCTTTAAAGTACTGTGTAAACCGTCACGGCTGGTGGATACAGCTCGCAACGTTCGAGAGTTTCGCGAAAGGGCTTTAAAGTACTGTGTAAACCGTCACGGCTGGTGGATACAGCTCGCCAACAGCTCGCAGTGTCAAGGAACGAACTAACAATCGGAAGGGACCGCTTCCGAGTCGTCACATCGTCATCACGAGTCGTCACATCGTCACGTATCGTCACACCTCATCAGACTTCATCGCACCAAGGTCACGATTCTGCCATTTTCTCAGTCTGGATCGTGTTGCGAAGGTACACGCTGAACACTGTTCGTTTCTCATGTCTGACAGTTGGCTGCAAGCACATTCTCACCGTGCTCAAGTTGTGCGAGCGAGCGACGACGACATTGAACACTCTCTTCCTTGTTGCTGGATACTCTCTTCCTTCCTCTCTTGTTGCTGGCTTAGACGCTAAGACGTCGGGTCGGGCCGTTTCTCAGATCTCAAGACTAGCTCAGACGCTAAGACGTCGGGTAACAACCATTCATGGCGTCATGCGAAATGTCGACGTCCGGAAATTCATTTGTGCGGCTGCTACCTCTCAGCGCGCTTGATGAGGAGGAGCGACCAAAGGTAACTTAGCTCCCACCAAACCGGTACTCGACGTTAACCTCTGTTATCAAGACCTCCCCCAAACATTATACTGGTCTTGTGCGAAATAAGCCCGCAATTTTTTTCGTGTTCAACGGCGATCGGGCTGTCATTTACTCCATCCCCAGTCAGCGGCAAGCCCCTCCCACTTCCTCGAACAAAACGCTTGACGGCGAGATGGCCAAAACGGCCTGGCTTAATATGGACCTACCTCACTTGTTATTTATGCCTCGTTTCCACATCTTGCACAATACTCTATTGAAGCCGCTGGACTTTCAGATCGGTGCAACCCCCGCAAGAGGAGCTTGTTGTCCCGCATTTTCGTGGTGCGCAGCACGTTCGAGTTAGGGGTATGAAAGGTGACTTGCGTGATCAATGGCTCCGACTCGAGGGTTTTTTGCGAAACGACCTTGACTTGGTTAGATCAAAATGTTATGAAAGCGCCAAAGGCTCCGACGGAACTCAAATCTAACGTTCGTCCGTGGCACTCTCTACCATCAACATTCGGGTATACACAACACTTTGACCTTGAATCCCCACAAGATCTACACAAAGCTGTCTTGCAATCTCTCCATGCTTTTCGCCCGCTGCTTGGGGCTATCACATTATTGACTCTAGTTCTCGATGACATTAAAATGCCAGGATGGCGCGAACGCTATATCAAGGAGAGTCAAGTGGATGCGGCACTGTGGGACGAACTAGAAGAAGTCGTTTTCCAGATTGCCGCGGGACCCATTGGAGGTATCTTAGACTTTTCAAGCCCAGCAGCAATCGAGAAAGCTCGGTCTCTGGATTGGCTATTCTCCATGATATTGAAGAATGACATTCGTGTACCCTTGTATTTCTTCTTGAACAGCACCGATCCCGCGTTGTTCAATGCTCTTCCCTCCATGCGATGTTACCACCTTTCTGTCCAATCAGAGCACATACAGAAAGTTCGCAATCTTAGTGGCCAAGATGCAATCATGGAATGGACATTCATCGACAACGCTAGGCGCCGATTTGGAGTATTCCGCAATGCTGATTTCTATGCAACGTGCGCTCAAGCTGAGGAACTGCCAAAGAAGCCGCCGCGCCGGGAAATGCCGCCGGTTGATCCGAATAGCGGCCAAAGATTCGGCGAGAGTTATCAAGATTTTTTCTGGCGGCGCACCAGACACAACGCGGCGATCAATTCCCAGGGAGGAGAAGGCACAGCTTAAAAAACGACAAGAGCGTGTCACGAAGATGCAAGGACTGGGTCCGAGTTCGAAGAACACACAGGTTTTCATGTGGAATGCTTATGACGGCTTTTTGATACGCAGACCGATAACACATTCATTTGCTGTCAGTGTGTGGAAAGATTATGAGCCCTATCAACGTGTCTATGATGTGGGCTCGAATCAATGGGACCTCTGTCCTGGAATCAGGACTTGGGAAGAGAGCACAGCTTTGACGACAATCGCAGATGATCCGGCACCGAGGACGAGAACCAGTCAGAACTCTGCTCCGGGCCAAGCAAAAACTCTCGAATCGGGTCAAAGTTCTGATGATCAGTCCGATGACTCCGAGTCTAATTCGGGCCAGCTGGAAATTCCAAACTCTCAACTTGAATCCCATCCGGTGACTTTCGACAGCGAGTCTGTAGCGAATGGTGTCGGGGATGATGTTCAGCTGGAGCCTGACGACAAGCTGGAGCCTGACGACATCGAGTCTCAAGTGAGCGACTTGAGTCGAACACGGTTGGGATAGCCAGTGTCAGTGATGTTGCCGACGACTCGGATGCCAGTGGTCGACCTGCCTTCCCAAATCTTCCCGTAAATCTTCCGGATAACATGTCGTTGTTGCTGAACGATGGAGGTGGAGCCTCCGCCAATGTCGTCCGCTTTCTACGAGTCTGAAAGAATGGACTTTGAGACAACGCAACTGGAGTCTCTGACAAATTGGGATGATTGCGGTGTCGTCTTAGCAGAACGCTTTGGTCATATAGAAAATCAATCCTTCGACGCTCCAGGACCTGAGGTTATCTCATCCGAGAACTGTTTAAATGTGCTCGGAGACCTCCGTTCATCGTACCTAGTGTCAAATTCGACTCGAGTTCTATTCCAGGAGATTGCAAATGCAAAACCCCTAGCCGAAATCCCAGCAGTGTTGCTTGATTTGGCCCAGGCGGAAGAAGAGACGCACCTCTGGAAAGATCGGGGGATTAACGTTGTTTATTTCCGACAACAAGACGCTCCGGTCCACGAGAGCCGCGTTTTCGTGATAACCCCCGTGGAAGGAACAGCGACCATGGCGAAAAGATTCTGCTTTTCAGTGCGACCACTGTTTTGCACCTCATTCGACTGAGATTTCAAGACTGGGAAGATCTATTGTCGGAACTTGTTCATCTCGGTTGCCCATTCCATATCATACTGGCGAATTCCAGAATCCCATATGCTCCTAGATACATGAGATGGGTTGGTCTTGGGGTTCGTCAAGAGGGTTATCGGCCATCTCGACTCGATTTCTTGTCCTATGTGGCCCACCGAGACCGATTCCTTCACTCTCCACGAGGTGTGCTTGCGCTATATTCCGGTGGCATCATCAGCCGTATCGCACGTCATGTTCTCGATGATCCTCTACACAGAATACGTTGGAACTCAGTCGACATCTTGCGGGCTGACGCGGAGATTGTGGATCCAAAGTTCGCCGACCACGCGTACTATTACCATCGCCTCACCCCGCAGGAAGAGGACCTCATTTGTGGTGTGTACTTGGTCGAAATAAGTGGGTGTATCCAGATTATTTCCATGACTATCATCCATTCAGTATGTTATTAGACCACCTGGAACATAGTCGTCACGTCCGAGTGGGCGGTCAGCAAACATCCACAGCCAGATTATCATGGTGGCCTCAGCCCGCAGCATTCTTCAAATCAGGTCTTAATGTTGGATGGTGGACGCCTAATTGCGAGCACTTCTTCCGGAAGATATTGAATGAGATGGAGTCGGGTGGTGGCCGGATGTGGACTCACACAAAATGGCGACGAAATATTAAATACTTTCAGAAGGC